TCTTCTGTTGTATTTATGGCTTTGGCTTTATAAAAAAAAAACCTTCTGAATATGGGTGTAGATGATGAAAAAACTCTTTAAGAGACAAACTATCCCTGGTCAATTCATCTAATCATCCAGTCAGTCAATTAAAGTTATATGTGGATAATTTCACAATGGCAAACGCTGCTCTCTGGCTGGCCTGCTTGTGTGCAGTGTGCTTTGGTGGGCCACCAGGTGCGTTTTTTCTCTTCTCTGTGCCAGGGTTGGATCTGAGCTCAAATCATTAGCTCACTGCCTCTCTCTTTGCTTAGCGCACAGCTCTTCATTTCAGCCTGTGGTGTCTGGCATGACATTATTGTGACATCCTCTGAAGTGAGTAAAAGAGTTTGAGTTCTTGTTTTTGGGGGATTTATGCCCAAGTGTCTTTGATTTCAGCATTTACTTGTTTTTTTTAAAGGATTTGGTCAGCTGTTTCATGTCAGACTTTGATTGGGCAGTTGAGAGCTGTTTAAACGGTTAACTAGAAACCAGTGGGTAATATAAAGTGTTTTGTTAAGGGTGTTTGCACTCTTGTTGAGAAAGCTTTGATATGAGACCATAAAGTCCTGTATTTTTCTTGCAGAGTTTATTAGTCAGAAAGCTGAGTGTCAGTTTGAGCAGTTTTATGAAAGAGAAGGTTATTGCTGGAAAGTTTAGACAAGGATATTAAGCGTCTAAAAACAGCGTCCTCCACGGGGATTGACAAGGCGGCTGGGAAAGCCTTAGACCGAGAAATGCTTGTAAAGATTTTTATTTTATTTATAATTCAAATAAATCCCAAGACAAACAGAATGGTTTTTAAATACAGCACGTTGTGACTGATTTTACCTAAATCTCTAATCACGTTCCAGGGCTACTTCCTGTTTGCATCCTAATGAATGAGGCTGTTTGTGCAAGACTTTCAATTTTAAGTTTATATGCTTAGTCACTGAACTATGAAAGAAATGAGATCTGAGCTAGTCAAGCCAACAACTAGCTCCATAAAATTTTAAGAGATGAGTCTGTGGTTCCATGACTCAACAAGATGTTACATTTAAACACTGCTATTACATTGGCCAAATAGTGGTCCACAACAAACCCAGACTCTGACCAAGCATTTGTGTGATATTGTAAAGTTGACTCATAAAAGCCAATCTCAGAAGCCAGACAGCTCCTATTCAGCTCCTATTATTCCCATCAGCCATTGCTGCAGTTTTACTACATACATTTACACACAAACACATCTGTTATTTGATCTCTATATAAAAAAGAGAAAGAGGAACAACATGAGAAATGGGCAGAAGGGAACAGACAGCAGTAATGGGTGACAGAGGGACAAATGAGGAACCGTACTGAATTTGTTAGGTTGCAGAAGGCAGAACAGCTGGAATCAGAAGCTTCGAGAGTAAACAGTCTGAAGAGAATTCTCGTTCTGCTGTTGTTCCTGAAATTTCTACTATTGGAACAACATGAGAGAACGATGAATACACAAACAGCAGCTTTCTGTTATTATCTTTAGTCTGCACAATAAATGCGTCACACGGGCCCCGGTTTTCAGCATGGTAGTAATTTATAGTGTCGCTCAACAGAAAACCAGGATGCATCAACATATTGCTCAATCAAGAGGAAGTGCTAACAAAATTAGAAAAATGGGAAGAGAGCATAAGTCCAAGGAAGGAGGAAAAAACAATCCCCACGTTGCATTTTGTAACGCCATCCTTCCATCCCAAGAGTGCAGAGGGAAATGAATGTTGGCAGAATGGAGACCAGCAGGGCATGATGTAATGAATTTATGAAGTGAGATCTGGGCATGTGGGAACTTTAACTGATTTTGGAACCCACAGCTAAAGAAAAGAGAGAGCAGGAAAAAGAAGCAGTTCTGTTTGAGAGAATGCAGTTTTTGACTGAACGTGGTTTGGAAGCCTTAGGCCTCGGTCCTCATCGCCACCCACAAGTCTTTTTTAAAACCTCTCAGCAGCTTCTTTCTTCTCAAAACTTGCTAAAAGTGTGGGAACACGCACGTCATGAGAGACAGAGCAGAACTTTTTCTCCAGTTTGCTTGTATAAAGCTAAATCTGCCGTGAGGGATGATCACACTGACAAAGCAACTAGAAAGTCAATCACTTACAGTGAGGGATGGTGATTTGAGGTGACATGAGCGTCAGAGACAACTTGCAATGGAACAAAGTTGAGTCAGTGATGGATAAGAATGTTCACATAAAGAAAAGAAAGAAGCCGAGTTTAAAACAATTTGCTTTCAAAAATGTTCATACCATTTACAAGAAAATTTGACTTTTGAAGACTGAAATGTCATGTGGTGTAACCAGTAAAAGTAAAAGTAACAACAGATTTTCCCTAAAACATAAATGCATGTAATTTTACACATAATAAAAAAAATACATAAAAAACAAACAATAATTTTAAAAGGTTAAAAGTACATTTTAAATATATTTTTTATGAGTCGCACCACGACATTTTACTATCCTGTACTAACCTTGTCTTATCATTAAAAGGTCAAATGATCTAATATTTTAAAAGACTTAATGACCTTTTTTCTGCATGTTTGTTGCACCACATGACTTTTATCAAAATGCATTTTAATTTTGATGGGCCCTTAGTTGGACACAGCAGTCAAATTGGAACATCTACTAGCAACCAAATCTGTTGCATCTCTGTGCGTGCAGGTAAGCCCCCATATTACCAAAGAAACAGTGGCAGATGCTAGAAAATCATTACCTGTTCCAGCCTGAAGAGAGAACTACTGCAGCTGAACAGATTAATGGGTGCTTTTTCCTGCAAAGCTTTATGGGAAAGCGGAAGCAAATTCACTTTTTTCCCAAATCTCTAAATCACTCTTTCTCTCTCTCGTTTAGCTTGGAATTTTTATTGGGCTCTGTTTTAGTGAATAAGTCAATAAGACCAAATTAGTTACAGATGAATTTGTAGGTCAGTCTGGGATTATATATCAAGAAAACGTCATTTTTGGAAAACTTTTAGATTGTGGCTGCTAAAATAACAGACAACAGAAAAAGAAGGAAGCCTTAAATCCTGAAACCCTGTGTGTATCTGCAAAATGCCAGAAGTCATCTCCACATGTTTCTAATTACCTTAGTAGCGCAGATGAGAACAAACAATGCTTGTATTCTTCTGTTTTAACCTGTTGATAGGAAGACGATAAACAGAGCACTTTCAGAAAGAGAAGCAATGACATTGCTGGAATGTTTGCGCACTTTAATATGTCCTTAATGAAATGCAAATCTAGTAGTAGAATCAGTTACCAAAGGTTCTGCTGCCAGAAATGATGCGGAAAAAATGTGTCAGAATTGAGATGTGTTGTATTTGTCATTTGATGTTTTTAAATGAATGATCTAACAGCCAGAAATATGTATCTGTATTTGTTTCTAGAAACTCACGACACACAGATGAAGTTCATCACTAGTGCTCACAGGAATTGACCGTTGAATGTGAACAATGCCAGCCTTAGGTCCTTATTTACTCAGCATCACATTAGACTGTCACTTCTTTAATGCAAATATTTCATACACTTTCCAACATCAGAAATTTTCCTAAATGTTCCTCGTACAGGGTTTCATTTTTGTTTGTCAAAAGGAAGAGGCAGGTATTGATGCAATGAGTGTCTTTGAGTGTGAAAGACAAAAAGACAAGAGTCGTACAGGTAATTTAAGACGTTTCACGTGTGCTGCAGGTGAACCATATGCCAGCACTTCAGCACGGAATGTTCTCTGAAGAGTAATGACATGGAAATTCGTCCAGGAGTAGCTTCTTTTTCTATGTGCAGATTTTAGTGAGCTTTCACATTTCATCCATTTGGCTTGGTTTTGCTATTATGGTTATCTGCATAATGTGTTCACACAGGACACGTTCGTCCGTCACATCTCATTGTTTTTCTTGTGCTACGACACCATAATGTGTGTCAAGTTAAAAACATCATGTCCTCTGTGAACGCCCCCTTACGTAATAGTGTTAATCACGTGTTTGTGGACATTTATTGTGACAACATTTGGTTTGTTCAACTTGCATCTACTGGTGCTGTTCCTTGTGTGTCTGACAGCAGCAGGGCACCGTGGGTAACGGTGCTACAACACACACTAGGTTTGTGATTAGCCTTCTGTCAAACCAGTGTGTGTGTGTGTGTGTGCACAACGTGAGAATGTAGAAGTTTCTACATGAGGAAGTGGTTAGTGTAAAACGGCCTTCTGTCTTGGTAGGTTTGTTTTCTTTAAAACCATTTTTTTATGAATAGTGTCCCTTATCCCCTACAGAAAATTACATAGACACTCAGTGGACCAAATTCCCAAGAGCTTCAGCCAGAGGAACCGTGAGGAGCACCAGGCTACCAAGAAACATCTACAACATGCTACAATAGAATCTACAAACCACAGTCCTCAAATAAGACCGAATCCACAAAATACAGCCTTCATGGTACAAGAAAACCTACAAGACACCACAGTCAGAGTGGCCGACACTGTTTTAGATAGCACAGTGGAAATCTCTGTGAGAGTATCGGGCTCAGAACGTAACCAAGCAAACAAACACACCCATCCAGATGCATTATGCCCCCTACTGCATGACCTTGAAGTGGACCAGAAAACACCCATCTCTTTTTCTGAAAAGCAAACAAACAGAACAAGAGGCGACATTCTGGGTAATTCTCTGCCTTTGATGTCTGTGCTATACGGCTTTGCATTGGATTGTGAAGGAAGACTGAAGTAATCCAATGCAAATCTCAGAACGACCCTTGACCTGACCACTTGGCCCACCCGTACTCTGGCTGAGCGCATGGGCAGCAGCTGGAGAATTAGTTCAGAAAAACAAAAACGGAGCAGTGGACGTACAGGTAGAGGCTTGTGCCAAACAAAGATGAAGAAGAACTTCCAGCTGCTGACAGATTGAAGAGTGAAATGTCAGAGAGATTATATGAAGAAAAAACACAACAAGTGAGTGAAGAACCTGCCACTTTTACCCAGGTGTCTTCTGACCTTTGTTTTCTGTTGAGATCCTTGTGGTCCACCAGTTCTTGGTGTCTTCCGTGATTCCTTATTCTCCCAGTGGCTCTCTAAAAGTCCTTAAAGCTGCACACATCTCTTGTATCCCAGGATATCAAGGCCTCCTGCTCAAAGCTCCTGTGGTTTTGGACCCCCAGTGTCCAGGACCCTGCTCAGCCCAGTAGCGAGCTCCTGTCCAAGGGTTCACAGGATCTGGGGCAGTGGCATGGCTCTGGAAGCCTTCAGCTGCTTTCTGGAGACTGAGGAACTCTCGGACAGCAACTCTAGTTTTTCATGAAGGATGGGGGAGGGAGGGTTGGATGGAGGGGACTGGGACCTGATTTCTCTCTCTCTCTCTCTCTCTCTCT